CCGGGCTTGTGTATTGAAAAAATTGTCCCACGGCTTCCAATTGATATTTTCCAACACATGAAATGTGCGATAGTCTACAGCTTCCAAGGAGAAAATGGCGCCGTTTACCTGTCTTTATTATTTATTTATTTTTATACAAAGCAGTTATATATTTTATGTTTTGTGTCTCTTTTTTCTAGTCTCTTACGTTCCTATTTATTTTTTTACGTGATTTTTGCGATAAGACGGTTTTAGCGGTGGTTCTCGAGGGTACTTAATGCTTCTCTTTTTTGTCAAATCTTTTGGACAAATTTTTTTCCAAATTCTTTTGCCTCTTCATCTCTAGCTTTTGTGTCTTCTATCTCCGCTTTTCTTTCGTTTCTTCATATCTGATCTCCTCTTTTTTTCTCTATCTCTGTCTCGCGTTCTTCACCTGATCATCTCTTTCCTTCTCCCTTGATTTTTTGGTTTTTTTTATTCCATCGAATAAAACTTCAAAAATGGCGTAATTGAGTGTGGATAGAAGGAAAAATCAAAATTCAGGCCCTCGAGTACGGCGACGTCGTCAATCGCGTCGTCGGTATTCGGTCAACCATCGGCGATTAAGAGGTCCTCGGAGAAGAAGGTAGCGTCGAGAGGCGGGATGTGGAGGAAGGTGGCGGTCCTCTACGGTGACCTCCGAGGCTCCGATGAGTCGGCAATAGATTTTTTTTTTGTGAGATTGTGAAAATAGAAAATCGTTGGACATAGGATATGGGTTTCAGTGTAGTGTATGCGTAGTTGGTTAGTGGTTGCTTTCAACAATTTTATTTTTTTTATTGTATATTAAGTGATTGGTAGTGTATTTATAGTTTTTTTTTTCAGTTGTTCATCAAATGATTTTGGATTGCACGGTAATTAATATAATTAAAGATATATTCAGTTGATGTGAAAAAGTTTGTGTCGTTTAGTGGTTTGTGTATATATTTTTAGTTTTGTGCAACAGCTGATTGTGTAAATATTTAATGGGTCTTCATGTTTGAAATTTGATTTATTTTTAATTCATCATTATAGCAGTTGGCATCTTCTTACGTGTTTTCTTTGTCAACATTTTTTAATCATGTTATACCACAAATACTTGAACCGCTCGACCGCTCCTCTCGAACCGAATTGAACCTTCTCGATCGCCAGTACCTGCAAAACACGCCGGGGGTGGTCCCGGCGTGGACACTCCGACGCTCAAGTCAGTGGTGGTGTTTCGGAGAGAAAACGGCAGAGTAACAAGATAATATGTGTATGTGTGTTGTGTAGAATGAATGAACCTGCTCCTTTTTATAGGTGAAGCCATGAAGAGTCCTGGTTGTTCTGGAAGTCTTCCTACATCTAACCCTAGATTTGGTTAGATCTTCTTAGATCATAAGAATCCTAGTTGCTGTGAACCTCCTCGTAACTTGGTAAATACGACGCCACCCCCAGGTCTTAGTCCCCTCAAAAGGAATCCTCCTGTCGAGCTGCCTAGGCGACGAGGTGCCTAGACGACGAGGTGCCCAGGCGACGAGGTGCCCAGGCGACGAGGTGCCCAGGCGACGAGGTGCCCAGGCGACGAGGTGCCCAGGCGACGAGGTGCCCAGGCGACGAGGTGCCCAGGCGACGAGGTGCCCAGGCGACGAGGTGCCCAGGCGACGAGGTGCCCAGGCGACGAGGTGCCCAGGCGACGAGGTGCCCAGGCGACGAGGTGCCCAGGCGACGAGGTGCCCAGGCGACGAGGTGCCCAGGCGACGAGGTGCCCAGGCGACGAGGTGCCCAGGCGACGAGGTGCCCAGGCGACGAGGTGCCCAGGCGACGAGGTGCCCAGGCGACGAGGTGCCCAGGCGACGAGGTGCCCAGGCGACGAGGTGCCCAGGCGACGAGGTGCCCAGGCGACGAGGTGCCCAGGCGACGAGGTGCCCAGGCGACGAGGTGCCCAGGCGACGAGGTGCCCAGGCGACGAGGTGCCCAGGCGACGAGGTGCCCAGGCGACGAGGTGCCCAGGCGACGAGGTGCCCAGGCGACGAGGTGCCCAGGCGACGAGGTGCCCAGGCGACGAGGTGCCCAGGCGACGAGGTGCCCAGGCGACGAGGTGCCCAGGCGACGAGGTGCCCAGGCGACGAGGTGCCCAGGCGACGAGGTGCCCAGGCGACGAGGTGCCCAGGCGACGAGGTGCCCAGGCGACGAGGTGCCCAGGCGACGAGGTGCCCAGGCGACGAGGTGCCCAGGCGACGAGGTGCCCAGGCGACGAGGTGCCCAGGCGACGAGGTGCCCAGGCGACGAGGTGCCCAGGCGACGAGGTGCCCAGGCGACGAGGTGCCCAGGCGACGAGGTGCCCAGGCGACGAGGTGCCCAGGCGACGAGGTGCCCAGGCGACGAGGTGCCCAGGCGACGAGGTGCCCAGGCGACGAGGTGCCCAGGCGACGAGGTGCCCAGGCGACGAGGTGCCCAGGCGACGAGGTGCCCAGGCGACGAGGTGCCCAGGCGACGAGGTGCCCAGGCGACGAGGTGCCCAGGCGACGAGGTGCCCAGGCGACGAGGTGCCCAGGCGACGAGGTGCCCAGGCGACGAGGTGCCCAGGCGACGAGGTGCCCAGGCGACGAGGTGCCCAGGCGACGAGGTGCCCAGGCGACGAGGTGCCCAGGCGACGAGGTGCCCAGGCGACGAGGTGCCCAGGCGACGAGGTGCCCAGGCGACGAGGTGCCCAGGCGACGAGGTGCCCAGGCGACGAGGTGCCCAGGCGACGAGGTGCCCAGGCGACGAGGTGCCCAGGCGACGAGGTGCCCAGGCGACGAGGTGCCCAGGCGACGAGGTGCCCAGGCGACGAGGTGCCCAGGCGACGAGGTGCCCAGGCGACGAGGTGCCCAGGCGACGAGGTGCCCAGGCGACGAGGTGCCCAGGCGACGAGGTGCCCAGGCGACGAGGTGCCCAGGCGACGAGGTGCCCAGGCGACGAGGTGCCCAGGCGACGAGGTGCCCAGGCGACGAGGTGCCCAGGCGACGAGGTGCCCAGGCGACGAGGTGCCCAGGCGACGAGGTGCCCAGGCGACGAGGTGCCCAGGCGACGAGGTGCCCAGGCGACGAGGTGCCCAGGCGACGAGGTGCCCAGGCGACGAGGTGCCCAGGCGACGAGGTGCCCAGGCGACGAGGTGCCCAGGCGACGAGGTGCCCAGGCGACGAGGTGCCCAGGCGACGAGGTGCCCAGGCGACGAGGTGCCCAGGCGACGAGGTGCCCAGGCGACGAGGTGCCCAGGCGACGAGGTGCCCAGGCGACGAGGTGCCCAGGCGACGAGGTGCCCAGGCGACGAGGTGCCCAGGCGACGAGGTGCCCAGGCGACGAGGTGCCCAGGCGACGAGGTGCCCAGGCGACGAGGTGCCCAGGCGACGAGGTGCCCAGGCGACGAGGTGCCCAGGCGACGAGGTGCCCAGGCGACGAGGTGCCCAGGCGACGAGGTGCCCAGGCGACGAGGTGCCCAGGCGACGAGGTGCCCAGGCGACGAGGTGCCCAGGCGACGAGGTGCCCAGGCGACGAGGTGCCCAGGCGACGAGGTGCCCAGGCGACGAGGTGCCCAGGCGACGAGGTGCCCAGGCGACGAGGTGCCCAGGCGACGAGGTGCCCAGGCGACGAGGTGCCCAGGCGACGAGGTGCCCAGGCGACGAGGTGCCCAGGCGACGAGGTGCCCAGGCGACGAGGTGCCCAGGCGACGAGGTGCCCAGGCGACGAGGTGCCCAGGCGACGAGGTGCCCAGGCGACGAGGTGCCCAGGCGACGAGGTGCCCAGGCGACGAGGTGCCCAGGCGACGAGGTGCCCAGGCGACGAGGTGCCCAGGCGACGAGGTGCCCAGGCGACGAGGTGCCCAGGCGACGAGGTGCCCAGGCGACGAGGTGCCCAGGCGACGAGGTGCCCAGGCGACGAGGTGCCCAGGCGACGAGGTGCCCAGGCGACGAGGTGCCCAGGCGACGAGGTGCCCAGGCGACGAGGTGCCCAGGCGACGAGGTGCCCAGGCGACGAGGTGCCCAGGCGACGAGGTGCCCAGGCGACGAGGTGCCCAGGCGACGAGGTGCCCAGGCGACGAGGTGCCCAGGCGACGAGGTGCCCAGGCGACGAGGTGCCCAGGCGACGAGGTGCCCAGGCGACGAGGTGCCCAGGCGACGAGGTGCCCAGGCGACGAGGTGCCCAGGCGACGAGGTGCCCAGGCGACGAGGTGCCCAGGCGACGAGGTGCCCAGGCGACGAGGTGCCCAGGCGACGAGGTGCCCAGGCGACGAGGTGCCCAGGCGACGAGGTGCCCAGGCGACGAGGTGCCCAGACGACGAGGTGCCCAGGCGACGAGGTGCCCAGACGACGAGGTGCCCAGGCGACGAGGTGCCCAGGCGACGAAGTACCTAGGCGTTTACCTTAGGCACCCCGCCTAGCTGATACAAAGCGCGGCCTACGATCGGTCTTTTATGAACCCCATTCTCATGGCCGTATCAAATCATCTATGTAATTTTGGATTGTTTCCAATTATAGTGATAGTAGGTGACAATCTGTGTTTGTGTTATCCTGGCCAAATAATTATTTTTGGTCTGCTTTTTTTTCTTCATTTTAGAATATCATCACTTCTGTTATCAACGTTTTTATTTCAGTAATTACTAATTAGTGTGTATTTAAACCAAAATAATTATTAAAATTTGTTGGTATTCACGTAGATCAATTCTAAAGAAATAAAGTTGAATGATAATTTTATCCAAAAAATAATTGTACAAATAATTTTATTTAAGTAATCAGAGGCTAATTAAACTAAAATAATTTATTAAAAAACTTTTGATAGGCATGTTGATCATTTATAGAAAAAGACAACTGAATAATTATTTTGTACATAAAATAATTATGTCTACGTGTGAAGTAGTTACCAGTTACTACTTTCTCAACTGAATTGCTACGTAATTTAGTAAATGATTTTTGGGATTGGTTTTTTATAAACTATTTTTTTATACAGGGTAGTTACATAATTTTCCCGCTTGCAAGTGACCAAGTCTAAAAATAATTCGGCACAAACAAAGCACATATATAATTAAGTGTAGTAAAACAGAGTGCAATTTTTATATCTGTGAACATACAACTCTGACATACAGATAATACAAGCAAGTAAATGAAGAGTCCGATACAACTGAGTCTATCAACTTAAATTATCTGCTCTAAATGTTTGCTGTTTAATTTTTATGAAGATAGTCTGAGTCTAGGCAACAAGTACAAGTGCTCATCTTTCATAATCCAAAGGACAAACAGCAGCATCTACCTTCTCCCGAAGATGGTACTTTTTGGCAATCAGAGGCCTTACGTCTTCAGCCCCAACTAAACTTTCCAAAAATGGAAGCAGCAACAATAGTTCAGTATCACAAGGGTCATCAAACCAGCTCTCTATAGGTATTCCATTGTCCACTTGGAAACCGAAAGCCTGAACACAGTAACTTCATATTCACAAAGGCAACAACATAACAGAGGATTTAACAAGTAATATATACTTCCATGCAGTGTTTTGAGACCCAGACCGGTTCGGCGGGTTGACCCGGGACCCGGTCGTCCCGGAGCCGGAACCGGTCCGGGTGGAGTATTTGGACCGGGCAACCAAGGACCCGGTCAAACCCAGTCAAAACCCGGCCGACCCGGGGAATTGACCCGCCGGGGCAACCCGGTTGACCCGGTCCATATATATTTTTTATATTTTTTTATTTTTTTTTGTTTTTTAAAAATAAAAATATGTATATATGTTTATATGGTAAATATTTATCATGAAATACATATTATTAATACTTTAATATACAAATTTTATACACAAAACATTTAATTTGTTACTTTTATGTATATTTATATAACAAAAATACTCTATATATAATTTTAAAATTTTTTAAATTAATTATCCGGTTCAACAATTGACCCGGTGACCCGACGGTTGAACCGGTGACTCGGTGACCCGAGGACCTGCCCGGGTCGATCACCGGGCCGGGTTTAAAAACTATGCTTCCATGAGAATAATTTTAATTGCTATCTTTCACAAATTAATAACCAACTAAACATTAGTTTCCAGTTTAAGATTTTGCATCCAAAGGGAAAGTGTTTGTCTGCTACACAAACCTCCAGCCTCAAGGTAGTATCATAATTTTGAAAAATAAAACTAAAATTTCACAATTCAGCATAAAAAATGAAAGCAGAGATAATGGAAAATAAATTAAATCCAACATCAACTTTACCTGAGGAGAATTATCGATTATAATTACACGTGCAAGATCACGGCCAAGAACTGACAGGTCTTTGAGGTAATTTCCATCAAAAAGCACACAGGAATCACGATACACACGATGACGGAAGATTTTTCTTTTCGGGTCAAGCACATTTAGAAGTTGCTCTGCGTAAATGCTTTGGCTGGCAGTAAAAATTATAATCTCAAAAAGTGTGGATACTCTTTCCAGGAAATCTTTAAGATGAGGACGGCAGCGGACATATACAGTGTGATCCGTCAGGTTAAAATTGACTGTAAATGTGAAATCTGCATCTTCACATGGTTCTAGAGTAGAGTGCACCAAAGTCTCTGCCAAACATAATATGCATGTCACTACCATACAAACTAAAAGATATGTTAGACTATTGGTCGGTATACAATTAAATGACAAGAAGGTCATGATATAATGCGAATTTGCTGATAGAATCAATGTACTGGGTTAAATTAGTTTGGATCATTCTAAGAATCGATAATATAATTGGGAAAATTACGTTTTGAATTTAACCATGTTTTTAAAGTAAAAAAGCAATAACAACATTTGCAAATTAGTACTCCAAGAACTCAAAGTTTTAGATGAAATCATCATACACATCTATATAAATAGAACATCAAGTCATCAAAAACAAAAGAAAACATAATTGAACCAGCCATAATTGAAAATTTATCATATTGATCAACTAGCCATGTACAGCTTGTGAGTCAGTAGGCCCGCAACAACAGCAGAAAATAGCAATGATGATTAGAACACCCATTCAAAATATTAATGCAGCTGAAGGGCATAAAACAACTTAAAAATGTTTACCATCTAAATCCAGCACAAGTGAGGTGGATGGGCAGCTTCTTGTTTGCTTGGGCAAGAGAAAAGGCCGAAATGCTGGTACCACTGACGATAAGTCCGGTAAATTTTTTATGAAAAAGTATGGATCAAAATCATCATATTCTTCAGCATCCTCTTCCTCTTGGTAAACACCTGCTAACATGTGATCCTGATTGTTCTCGTCAATGCATTCCAGATTTGAATTTTTCATGGATAGATATATTGCTGAAACTTCGGGAGAAAGAGCAACACTACCTGAAATTTACATGAAACCACAATATCTTGAAATAATAATGGACAACGCATTGAAATTCATAGGCTAACACATTGGGAATTGTTTTGCCAATACCATGGCCATCAATCTGGACATTCTCCTTTTCACAGTCCTCAAACTGCTCGTTACCATGCTGAAAGAAATTGTAGAATTCTGTTGAATAGTGAAGGTAAGGGAATGAGTTGAACGGCATAGATATAGAAGACAGGGTGTAACCAGAGGAAATAGACTTTGAAAGGCAAAAATGCAAACAAAATAACAATAAAACAAAATAAAATACCTTCACTTGAAATTTCCTCACCAACACTTCTTGGAATATGGAAGGAAGGAGAAAATATGGTATCTGTGTCACAGTTGACTGCTCGATCATCAAGATCCTAATATACGACAAATATAAGCTAATGTGAAACCTGTATCAAGTATTCTGATATGACATTTTAAATATATATATATATATATATATTGATTTTACTATGGAAAAGGTGGTCAAGCATTGTAGAAACATATGACATAACAATGGCCAATGTGAGACATAATGACAGAGAGAAACTATTGAGAATTTGAAACCATGATACCTTATTTGCATAAGAATTATCCAATCCATGTTCAGTAGGGTATCCCGAGCACATAATTGAATCATCATCGGCCAATTTGAATTCAGTATCCAAATTTGTTCCATTAACAGGGTCCTGAGTTTCCTTTGAAATTGTACCTACTGAAAGTTGAAATCCAGATCCAGATTTGTTTAGATTAGGTAACTCCAACAAACTAAGTTGCACAGATAGTTATCTCTTCGAGTCATATGCCTACTATGAAGAGCATACCATGAAGAAGAAAAGGATAGGGCTGTGAATGACATTAACAAATTAGAATGGCATGAGATAAGCAAACATAATACCGTGTATTAAATTACAAAACAAACCAAATCATCTGAAAATACAGAAACTTTGTGAAAATAATAATAAGAGCTGATTGCCCCTAAATAGGCAGTTTTACCTTTTTGGCGAAGACATCAGTACTTTTTCTAGGAAAATAAGAAACACAGTGTGTTTTTTGCAAAATGATGCAAAGTTTTCAATTCCATCGGAAAATGCGGTGGTAGCTGGAGCT